ATGAGATAACTGCAATTTTTATGGAACGGGCGAAGATTCGTTTTGCCTTGAATGATTCATAATATTTGAGGCATGGTGGCGAATTAACCGGAATGCGTGTAGAGAAAGTGATTATGAATTAAAAGTTCAAAATATTGATAGGGACAATATAGCGTGTAATTTTTTAATTTACCGTCTTAGTCGTAATTTTGTATATTTATTGTAATTGTCTATTTAGTTTATCACCACTAACATTTTAATGATAATTTTACCTTTTATTAATTACTAAGAAATTAGTATGTATTATTGTTCTACTAAATTTGAATGTTTTGGAGTTGGAGATTGCTGATCAACTCTATCGATATTAAAGAGAATTACTGTTCAAGTTGTCGATGTTCCACTGTTAATTAGAATTCGACCGTTTGTTGCGTGTCATGTTCACAGACACTTGATTCTGGAATTCATTAAGGCCAGTCAGTACATTTACTAGAGTTTTATAATATATTACATTGAACCTCTGGCTTTACTTCTGTGGGGTATTTGAAACCGCACCCTTAGTAAAATGTTCTGCTCGAGGCTGTTACTGATTGAGTCAATGAAAACTACCTGAACGAATGTGTGAAGGCTCTCAGCTGTCCGAGAGCCTTCACATGACTGGCTGCGGAAACCTGCGTTTGCATTTGGATCTGAACGGATATCCTATTTTCCAGCAAAATCGTTGTACCAATGTTACAAGGGTTAACTTGGCGTAATTTGTGGTGCGGGCCTCGCCACAATCTTCGCACTTTGAATAGGTCGTCTTTTTGTCTACCGAACGTCAGAATTCGCTTTTTAATGGAATTCGGACAAGATAGCAATTCCAAGAAAATTTATCATTTTTTTCTCATTTCGTGAAGTTTTGTCGCAGAAGTAGAAATATTTTGTCTCCAGTGTTTCTTTATGAAGGTCTAGAGAGAACTATATAATTGAAGGGGTCGACTCTATTCCTGTGCCAACTTTTCGACAAAGATAAGATAAACCTTCCTGACATCTAGAGTATTAAACGTGGTGCAAGTATTATGATGTTGGTATAACAAATTATTCTGTATTATGAAGACATCCCTGCTTTACTCGGTTCCTAGGGGAGTTGGATTCAAAACCTTTCTTATTAAATCTGAAAATGAACCATATACGATATAGAACTCTCTAAGAGTCAAGCCCTTCAATTCATATTAAGCAACAATGTTCTTACGAAAAGTATTCACTATTGGCGGCATTCGATATGAAACAATTGGGAACTACGAATAATTCTTTATGAAATTGGTGGAATTTTTTGAAAGAGAAAATTCAGGTTAATAAAGATAATCGATGGTGACCGTAGAAGCCAAAGAAGTTCTGTATTCATTTTAGACGACCAAAACTTGCCGTTGTGACGACCATAACGGAAAATGAGCTCGAGCAAATACTGTATACGGCTCATTCAAAACATTGATCAGTACATTCAGATAGGGAGCAAGAAATTATTTGATTCTTACTAGTCCAGATATATCTGATAATAGTACCCAAATGAGAGAACATGAAAAGTGAAGTAGTACCAAGCTTTCTAGTCTTGAAGCTAAAACAGCAAGTTTTTCACAGTTGTATGGAATATCATTTGGAAGTACGACGTTCATAGAAGATTTTACGGACGTTTTTAGCACGGTTATGAAAGCTGTAATCTATTATATGAACGTGTCAGATGCTATAGAGTATTATGTAGTTTAAGATATGAGTCGACTCAGTATTAACGAATCTCTGTGAGAATATTTAAAATCTTGCCAACATGTGCCGTATTTTGTGGGAGCAAGGCTTTTAATGCGTACAAACTAATTTTTATTGGTCTCGACATTTTACGGCATTCTTCTGTATTAATATATTGAGTAAAGATTGTATTTATAAAGTATCTAGCATATGAAATTGTATTTAAAAGGTAATATTATATTAATAAATTATTGTAATAAATTATTTTTGAAATAATTGTTTTGTTTCTTCATTATTCATCCTTCATCAGGGCAGTCCAATTCCCTTGTTTACAACGAACACGATTGATAAGTGCATTCTCAATATATTATGTTCAAGTGGCAATTGATCATTCTGATTGTGAAATCTAGCTTTAAAATAGAAGTTTGTTTGTTCTTGGCTGATGCGAAATAGTCGTTCACTAATATGCCCTAAATGTGTTCCAGAAGTGGTTTTTGAAAGAGAAGTGGTATTTGTTAAATGTGCAGTAACTTTTGGTTGCCTTCTTGCCAAATTACATCCTATACACATAATTCCCAATTATTTTTTCGTCTACAGCTGGTGTGACAAAAATGTTGCCTGCAAAATAACCTCACTAAACTACATTTTACCTGTTGATGATACTCTTATAGGGCGGTTCATCTTTCCTCAGTATTCGGGGTATCTCTAGGTCTATATTTTATGTTTATCTATATTATGTATATCTAAAAATTGAAATCTTAATAAATGTGCCTATGTCTGTATTATTTACTGGAATGCGAATGAATGCTAGAAAAGCGAGGGAAAATTTGTGTCTTGATGATCAGAATTTTTGGGGCTGCGTTTTGTACTTTGCACTGCCACTTTATCAAATAAAGTTATGTTTTATAACTTGTAATTAAATACAACTATTGTTTTCAGTTTCTTTGTTGGTTAAGGCAGACGGGTTACTAATTTGATTTTTGTCTGTAGTTTTGATTTAGTGAATATCCGACGTGACTGCTAAAAGGCTTCCATGTATGGAATCGCCCTAGCTCTTATGTGCGCACCGAAAGAGGTGGCTCTGGGCATCACGTGATGTCACTAGAGTGCCTCTGATCGGGAGGTCCTGGGTTCGAGTCCCGAAGGGGCCAGGATTTCCTATATTAGGTGTATAGGTAGGTTGTCGCCGTCTCGAAGAAATTTCTAGCTGCTCTGAAGGTAGTTTTCCGTAGTCCTCCGATCACCACCAGGCGAATGCCAGAGCACTTCCCTGACAGACGGACCACGGACAGGGCGCGATCTTTCCTTCCTCTTCCTTGTCCTATCCTCCTCCCTTACACATTAACATACCCTACACAACCACACATGCCGGGAGCATAGAGTTTCTCCGAGCTGGAGCGGAGCCCCGCTGGTGGGAGATACGTGGTTGAGGAAAATCCTGCTGACCGACGGCAGGTCGGCGCCGAATCTCGTTATCGCACGGGAAAGATGACCGCCGCCTCCCGACTGTTACAGGACTAATGACCTTAACAGTTGACGCGCCCGGAATCACCAATCAATCGACATTGTGCTTACTTTCTCAATCCTGAGGTTGCTTCCTTGCATGTTTAACAGCTGTTGAAACTGAATTGTGTCGTCTTGTCATCCATGCATGATTCCTGCTAGTTCATGAAGTATAAACGTACCGTACGGTCTTGTCCATACTGAAACTGGATGTAGAGATTATCATCCCGCCACAAATTGAGTTATTTTTTCAAAATAAGATTTTTTGAAAAATGATTACGGTACCAAAACTTTTGCCGTTTCTTTTATAATCTGGTATATCGATGTGACTATTTGAACTTTCTATCCCTGCATTAGCATATATAGTACAATATGTCTTTCAGAGTGTTAAAATATTTGGCCTTTTTTTTTCTCCGTGAATTGTTCAACGTATTTTGTTCTGCGAATTATGCACTTGTTTTGGTATATGGCAAAGAGATGCTACTGCGACCTGTAATAATTGTCACAATGTTCTTGTAAAGTTTGTGTTCGTCTTATTGATCAGGCGTGATCATAGGAAGAAATATGTGGCGTGCCCTGGTTGATTTAGAATCCTTGGAGTTTGTTCATATGTGCTTCAATTAATAACACGTATGAACATTTTATGGAGATGATGTGTGTCGAGGTACAGGGTTGATTTCATTTCTCTCTATTTACGAGTTTTCTGATGAAGTGACTGCAACCGTTGATCAATCCTGGCTGCTCTATTGGGGTGTATAAAATAAAAAAGGCGAAAAATATGTTTAATGTATTTAATAGTTTGAATGTTTTAAATTGAGTGGTCCAATCAGACAACGGGTCTGAAAACGAATGCTGCCTCAATTAAAATAATCGTGTTTTAATCACATGCATGTTTTCTAAACCCTAATATTATAGAATCCTTGCCTTTGCCATGTTTACGAAAAAAATAAATTTTTGTGAAACAGAATGTGACGATTGTGATTAGTATATCAGAAGAAAAATAAGTGCAAAAGGAGATGTACATTAAGATGAAGCTATTAAGCTTTCTGGCTCGGAACAAGCATCTTGTCTTCCGAGAGAACTGGTTGTCAATGATTTAGTTGTCTGAAAGTTGCTGACACAACTAAGTTCATTTCAAATTGGTTTCGGTGGTGAAACAATATGCTGGCCGAATGCCCTTACAGACTCTTGTCTTAATCGGGTCGTGTCTATAAAATAGACATTGTGTCACTCTTTTAAAACCATTCTTACATTGATTTACAACATATTTCACAAATTTTCACGGACATACTTCGACTGAATACGTAATTTCTTGGAAGGCGATTACAGACTTGCTCCCACTTCGTTCCGGGTGATCGTAATGCATCGTCCATGGTATCGCCTCGCCAGTTTGGAAACTCCAAATAAATTCACTTCCGTAAAAAAGTGGCCCGGGAACAACCGAAAGAAATTGTTGACCGCCGTCGCATAACTCGTATCTGCGTGGACCACTCAATTACCCTTTGTCAACGACACTGAGTGCGGTCCACTGTCTTGTCCAGGCGCTGGTCCGGCGGCGGCTGCGGAGAAAACCCGCCCTCCTAGCGATGAGCGTCGTCTGAAGAACACGAGCGACCGTCTGGAGGCGGTGCCAATGTGACGGCGTGCCAGCGGCGAGTCGGCAAACACGCTTGCGGCAGAGGCGTTTGCAGGGAACACTGCGTTGGCCGCAGGGGCTTTGGGATTGGCAGGTTCCGAGCAAAGAACGGGGAATGGCCGGCGCGACAGGGAAGGGGTAGAGATGTCCGGTTTGTTTGCAGAAGACGCGGCGAGTGAATTTATAGTATTGCCGTGGAGGATGACGCCTGAAGAATACGATGCAATAGATCAGCCAGAATGTGACGACGGTACGTTGGTTTTGGAAACATTGGATGAATCAGTTGGACACGTGGACAAGACGTTAAATGACCAGCGAGAAGGGGAACAAACAAATGAACTGTCTCGGTTGTTTGCAGATGAAATGACGAGTAGATTTCCAGTAAGGGTACTATTTGGGGTCAGGTCTGAAGGAGGTGATGCAATGGATCGACTAGATTTCTTGGACTCTGGAGAAGGTAATACATTGGAAGCAGAAATGTTTGAAGAATCAAGACCCTTGAATTTAACTGAAAATGATCTGCGCGAAAAGGAACAAACACAAGCATCGTCAGGTTTGTTTTCAGTGGAAATGACCAGGTTTGCAGTGGGACAGCCAGGGTCCACCTCTGAAGTGTATCAGCCTATGTTATGGAAATCACAAGAAAGTAATTCGCAACAGGACCCCGGCGTGGTCGAAACCGGACAAGGAAGCGAGGGACAAGTTGAATCGAGAATTAAAAAATTGCAGAAAAGATTGCCGAAATCGATATTTTCAGATTCGGAAAATAGCGAGAGTAGTTTCGTCGATGTGCTGTTAGCGTCCGAATCAGAGAGCGAGAGGGAGTTGGCCGCGGCACGCCTAACTCCGTCCAAGATGGTTTCTCCGTTTTGCAGCGTGCTGCAGCCAGACGACCAGGCGACGGGCGATTCTAAGGAGAGAGATTCTCAAGATGAGCGGTATATTTCAGACATCGACGAAGATACGAGTGAGGGAAGCGCCGTGGCCTCTGAATCAAGCGCGAACGATTTGGAGATGTTGCCGGATTCTGAAGATTCGTCCGGTAACGGCACGTGTGAAGCTGTGAAAGGAATCTCTCCGAACGAAGTGGATGCTGGTGCCGTAGACACATTCAACGTCAATCTACAAGAAACGACAAAGCGATCTCAGTCAGAGGACGGGGATAGGGATCCGAAGGACTGTCCTCGCTCACTCAATGATGAGAGATTCTTATCTCCATCACAGATTTCTCTGGATGAGAACCAGATACTATTCTGCCAGTTATTTGCATTACCGTCGCGTCACAAACCGCTGCAGTATTTGGAGACAGTTGAGAGTACAAGTCCCACTCAAACTCAAGTACACGTTAGCCCTTACCACGAAACGGACTTGCCACACTCAGCCGTATCAATGGAGGCGATGGAGATATTAGACTCAAATGATAATTCTAACGACAGTGAACAATCTACATTAGCTGATACTAGTTCTGATTCTGAGGGATTCTCGTCTTCGTCTGATACACCCCGAGATGAGAATCAGATTCGCTTCTGCCGATTATTAGGATTAACTTCCTGTCCTAACAAGCGCTTGCAGAATTTAGAGAGAGGTCTTGATACTGACAGCATGTCGTCTGAGTCACAGACACCTGGGCCTGAGAATGATGAACGCCATTGTGAATTATTAGAATTGAGATCTCTAAACAAACCTCTGATACAGTTGGAGACCCTGCTAACAGGAAGTACTGTACAGAACGATATAGACATACGTCCGAACCGTGAAGAAAACACTCCTGATCCAGGTACCGTAACCGTGGTAGCGATGGGGATAATACAGTCGGATGAGAACTCAAAAGACAGTGAAAAAAACATGTCTGTTGTACAGACTAAACCTGATGTTGAGAGAATCTCATCTACGTCCCCAACCCTTCGGGACGAGAGTAAGGTTCGCTTCGGCGAATTATTAGGATTGAAATCTAGTTTCAAAACCCAACAGAGTGTGCAGACACTACAAACAAGTGATCCACAGCAAAATCACGGAAGTCCTAACCAGGCAGCTAACATTGCCGTCTTAGACACCGTATCAGTACTTCAAAAGAAAATGCTACAGTCAAATAAGAATTCAGAATGTGAAAAATCCATGAGTCCTGTTGAGGCTAGCCCTGACGCTGAGCAGTACTCTCCTTCGCCACAGGCCTCTCAAAACGATGACCAGATCTGTAACGGCAAGCGTTTAGGAATTTCTCCTTCTCCGATAGAGTATTGTGAACCACCAGAGAGAGAAAAGGCTCTAGAAAACCACGTAGAAACAAGTCCTAATCCCGAAATTCCAATCCCGGGCAGCGCATCCGTGGATACAGTGAAGGTATTGCAGACATGTGGAATCTCCAACAGTGAAACAATTACATGTGTTGTGGAGGCTAGTCCACATACAGAGAGATTCTCATCTGCTTCTCATATATCTCAGTGCGAGAATCAAGTTCGCCGCTGCGAATTTTTAGGATTGACGTCTACCTTAAACATACCTGTGAAATATTTGGATTCGACACTAACAGCGAATGCTTCACATAACGGCAACATACGTTCTCACCGCGAAGAAGACACTCCAGGTTTAGATACCGTTGCAGAAATAATACAGCCAGACGAGTTCTCAGGCCGTGGAAAATCGTGTGCTTTTCTGTCTAGTTCCGATGCAGAGAGAATCTCATCTGTGAACCAGACGCCTCGGGACGAAAATCAGATTCGCTTTTGCCAATTATTAGGGTTAATACCTTGCCGGAACAAACTCTGGCAGTATTTGGCGACAAGTCCAGATGCTGAGAGATTCTCATCTACACCACAGCCTCCTCGGAGCAAAAATCATATTCAATACTGCAAATTAGTAGGGTTAACGATTAGCCTGAACAAAACCCTACAGTATTTGGAGGCACAACAACAACCAACAGATACACAAAACCACGTAGACTTCTGTCCTAACCAGGAACCTAACAATTTAGACCTAGGCGTGTTATCAATACTTGCAATGGAAATACTTCAGTCGAGTGACAATTCAAATAGTGGAAAGTCTACAGGTGTGCAGGCAAGTCTGGTTACTGAAGGGGAATCATTTTTGCAAGAGACACTTTCAAACGAGAATAAGACCAGCAATTGCGAATTTTGGGGATTTTCTTCTTGTCCTGGAGGGTATTTTGAGCCACCAGAGGGACAAAGTACTACAGAAAACCTAGTAGACAAAAGGTGTAATTCAAAAATTAACATTCCAGACTCTGGCAGCGTATCGGTGGGTGTAATGGATGTATTACAGACATGCGCAAACTCTAAAAGAGAATGTGACGTGGGCGACATGGATTTAACCAATCGCGCCGATGACGAACAGACCCAGCATTTGGGGAGTGATACCTGTCGTACTGTCAGTCACGACAACGAATCTGTTGCGGCGCAAAAAACTCTATTTTCCGAATCCGATAGTGCTGATAGTTTCGCCGTTGAGATTCCGTTGCCTTTTGATGATAACTCATCCGAGAGCCAGAAATGCGTAATTGAGAATGCGGGGACTGTGTCTGGTAGTCAAATTAATGCCCGTGGTGCTTGGGTAGTAACTCGGCATGCAGTAAACGAAGTTGGTATTTCATCAAAACAAGTGGGCGTTCTCGATGAAGTAAGCTCGATGTCTGTGGACATATGTTCTGCGTCAGAGGGCGTTTATAGCTCTGATATCAATAGGCCATTGTCGATTGTCAGTGATTGTGATGTTTCCACTGTCAAATTCGCAGCCAGTATCCAGAGAGATCCCCTGGAGAATAGTGGTTACCTTCACGAAGGAATCGCATTTATGGGAATATCCCAGAATTGCGAACAAAATATTGAAATGAAAAGACACGGTATTGCGTCTTGTGAAAAAACAAGCAGTCTACAAGAGGTTCTTTCTTCAGATGATAGTTCTTCGATTGGAAGGCTACATATTTCAGATGACGAATTTTCGGATACCGAGGAATCTGCGTATAAGCAGCCACCCCACTGTACGTTACAAATATCAGAAAGCGATAGTGATAAAAAACAATCTTTGAAATGTCTGTGCGATTCTTTGGGAATGAGTGGAGCAGATGGCGATTCAGATCGTGTCTCTGTAGAAAAAGCCAAAGAAACACTGTCTTCAGCATGTACGAATAAAGAATGTTCACGTATAAGAGAGACATTTGAAAAATGTGATTTTTGCGAAGAGTTAGACTTTGTACATCGTGATGAAAACAGATCGCAAGATACTGAGAGAAGCCGTACAGCTGATTTCGATCACACGGAAGATATGAGTAAATCACAATGTGCTATTTCCGAATCGGGTAGCGATTCGGAATTACAGATCACTTCAGACGATGTCTCTCCAATTGGCATTCGCACTCGTGGACAGATAGGTGAGACTCATATTCGTATTGACTCGGGCCAGGACTGTGGGTTTACGCCCCGGAAGAGCGATGAATTCACTAAGAATTTGGAAATACAAGACGGTTTGTCACACAGCGATATGGCTGAAATCCTGGACATACGCCCTTCAGAACCAAATGATGAATCTTTAATTAACTTGCTAATACCAGTCGGAGGCAACGTTTGCTGTACTAATAAAACTACGGCGAGACAAACAATTTCTACAGCGAATGAAAATCACCCTGAGCTTTCATTGAGACAAGCGTCATCTCAAATACATGTTGAGGGTCCGGAGTATGTAAATGTTTCTGAAAACGACTGTGTGGAGAGGTGCGGGATTGTTGCTCAACAACAGAATGCACATCCTCCTGCAGAGGGTATCAGTGGAGAGTCTAGTGAAAAACGCATAACTCCCACGCAGATCAGTACTTTAGATGCTGTACGTAACGGCCGTCCAAATTCATCAGTTTATGCCATGTGTGAAGATTATATGCACGAGAAGGCAGAAGACGTGGAAGGGTTGAATAAAGGAGCACCAAATACCCCATCCCTACCTGCGACATCGTCAGAATCGGCAATAAGCGCTGACAGTCGTGCATTGCAGAGACCATCTTTGGAAAGCTCTGCTTCTAGTGTGAAAAATGTAGTTGTAACACAGAAGCTTTCAACGGAAAGTTCTATTCCCTTACGCAAGAGGCGTGTTGTATTTTCGGACATTGGGGAAGCAAGCATCCAGCCCTTGCCTGAATCTTCAGATGTTGAGCTTAGCGTTAATAGCTGTGCATTTCAAACGGTTTTGACCTCTGAGAACTCTGTAACGTGTGCGAATGACGCAGCAGCTACGTTGATGCTGGCTTGTCCGTCGGCCGGTTCAGTTGCCGCCAATAAAAAGATTGATCACGTATCTGAAAAGAGGGCCCATAAAATGCCAAATGACATAATTGCGAATGTTGAATTTCTACCTACGATATCACCGCAATGGAATGTTAGCGAGGATAACTGTGCATTGCAGATAGCGTTGTCCTCGGAGAACTCGCTAACTAGTCCGAAGGTTTCGGTTCTAACTCCATCCTCTTCGGAGAGTAATGTACTTTCCTGCAAAGCGTTGAGTCTGTCTCGTGGAAAATGGGAAAAAGCGACGCAACGCGACTCAACAGGTTCTCCAGATCGGTACGAAAACTCAGCGGAGGCCTCGCCGTCAGTGTCCGAATCGAGCGTTGATAGCTGTGCTTTGCATATTGAATTGTCCCCGAGAGAAGCGGTCGAAAGTGAGAAAAGCCCTGATGCGGAGAGGACAGCTTCATCGGAAAATGAAGGTTCGATTTGCCAGCCCTTGGATTTGACTTGCGCTCATCGCTCGCGGTTGAGAGGTAGGATGGAAGACTCGGGAGATGAAGCATCGTTGGGCATTGTTGCTGGAAAGCCAACAGAAATGCTTCAAGTGGCTGTAAATAAGAGGGTCTCTGGAGGATCGTCTAGTTTTACCGTACAAAAACACGTGCTTGCAGCCGAACGAGACTGTGCAAGTACGTCTTGCGCCCGCAAGAAATGGAACGATGGTGGGAGAAATATTTCGGAAGCGACCCGAGGTGTTTCTGCTTGCGCGTGCGAGATTGTTCTGCCTTCAAACCAAGAGTATACAACCGGTAGTGAAAATACGAGTCAGGCTGCTTCTGGGGAATCCTCATATTTGTGTCGCAGTATAATTAAGCATGGTGACTATATACACATACCTAGGGTGCGACCAGGCGACGTAACGGGTTCTTTGCTCGAGACTGGTGGCCACAGCAATGAAGGAGTGGTTTCCAAACCAGTTATCTCCGCTCTGATAGAAGGGCAATCATCAGAACGGACTTCAGTTTGTAAGCAGATCGTAGCTGAATCTCAGCCAACCTCCTTTATAGACACTAAGAAGACGTCAAATTCCACTTGTCAGCACATTGTTGTCGAATCTTTGCCAGACCCATTTAAAGACAGTAAGAACACCACAAATAGGGGTTCCCCTTCTGAGCAGATCCTTGCAGCATCTTTTCCAGGCTCCTGTAAAGATAGTAAGGACACATCAGATTCCACTTGTGAGCAGATCGGTGGAGAATCATTGCCAGATATCTTAAAGGACAGAAAGGACATATCAAATTGGCCCTTCGCGTGTGAGCAGAAATCTCCAGTATCTTTGCCAGATCCTTTTAAGAGCAGAAAGGACACATCAAATGGGACTTCTACTTGTGAGCAGATGGTTGCTGATTGTTTGCCAGCTACCGTAAATGACAGTAAGGACACCCCGAATGGAACTTCTGCCTGCGACAAGATCGTTGCAGACTCTTCACTAGATTCATTTGAGGACGATAAGGGGACATCAAATGAAGTTTTGTCTTGTGAGGAGATCGTTACGGCTTCTTTGCCAGACGCATTCAATGATATTGAGGACACATGTGGACGGGCCGAGCTGCGGGAGGAGCGAGATGCAGAATGTGGTTCAGTGGAACTTCCTTTGAATTCAAACGCGAGTGAAGGCGGCATGAAGGCAGGGAACCCTGGCTCTAGAAGTAAAGTTTCTGCTAAGGAGCGGTTGTCTGCGACTGAACCTAGTAGGAAGTCAGGTGGTGATAAGGACAGTACACGTCCACACGCAGAGACGGCCCGTCAAAGTTATAAAAGACGCCCGATAAATATATTAGATCATTCGATTCCACCGAAAATGCCAAAGATTTTGCCAGCACCATTGATTGAGCCAGAGTTATGGCAGCTTTCTAGGATTCCCTCGCGTTCATCTCTTCCGTTCCTGTCTTCCAGTGCCCCGAGTCGTAAGTCCAAAACCACCAGAGTCGAAAACTGTATTTCTAGCAATGACGCAGTGCGTGGAGTAGACGTAACTACTGTACTGTCGCGTACACGCGGCTTTGGAAATGCTGTGACGTCCTTGCCGACACAACCGACGACCAGTCGGGATATTCAAAGACAGATTTCTGCTGTAAATGTAGTTCCTTCCATCTCCCAGCCAATTCAGAGCTCGTATGGTGCAGTAGTAGCTGCTGGTACTGGGAGCACAGGAGGATTACCTATCTACTTTCCACAAGCTCCCATGTTAAGATCTGTCAATATGAATGTAGGAGCTCCAGCACAGTTGATCCAGAAAAACTTTCTCTCATTGAATAACAGTAATCAGCCGAACGAAGTGAACGTGGTCTCCAGTGATGCGGTAAGAGGAAACGCAGGCTCTGTGAGTAACTGTGGAGCGCCATTCCGCTGGTGGGTGAGTACCAATCCGCAGCACTTCGTCTGGACTTATAATCCCGGTAATGGGAGTTCGTATCCTGCACCTAATACTTTTGTCCTACCAGTGAATGCCATGCAAGGTGCTCCTGCACCACCTAATTCGCAAACAGTACTAATTCTCAAAACTATGACGAACTCAAATCCACAAGAGCAGCCGATATGCCTGCATCCCGATACAACAGTTTCACTCGAGAGGAACCGTCCGATTTTGAATTACTCTGGTTCTCTCCCAGGCGGCATATCCAAAGGACCTTTAGAAACTCTAATGGCTCCAGATGACTGCGCGGAGACAAATCTTCCGCTGGGAAACATTTCACTTCAAAGCGACTCAAGTGTTACGCCGGGCAGTCTTTCTTTGCCCCTTCAGCGCCAATCTGCCATGCCGACAATGTTTTTTCGTGACGCTATTGCCTCTCAAGCGTCTGCAGTAATCGCGGCGGGTTGTGGCGCAGTTGCTCCATCGACTGTTGGCGCATTTGGTGGAATGATTGTTCCGACGAGTGTTGGCGCATTTGATGGAATATTTGTCCCAGCGAATGTTGGTGCAGTTAATGAGATGATTGCTCCGGCAAGTGTTGGCCCATTTGGTGCAACAGTTATCCAGCCGTTTGTTGGTGCTGTGGACAGAATATTGGCTCCGCCAATGTTTACCTCAGATGGGGAAGTGATTGCTCCGACGGGTTTTGACACAATTGGTGCAACAGTTACCGAGCCGAGTGATGGTGAAGATGATAGAGTATTTGCTCCGGCGAATGTTGGCGCACTTGGTGAAATGGATTCTGCAGCGAGTGTTGGCGCAGATGATGAAATGGTTTCTCCCCCGAGTGTTGGCGCAGATGATGGAATGGTTTCTCCAGCGAGTGTTTTGGCGCAAGAATGATGGAATGGTTTCTCCAGCGAGTGTTGGCGCAGATGATGATGGTTTCTCCAGCGAATGTTGGCGCAGATGATGGAAATTGGTTTTCCTCAGCAAATTGTGGCGCAAATGATGGAATGATTTCTCCAGCGAGTGTTGGCGCAGATGATGAAATGGTTTATCCAGCGAATGTTGGCGCAAATGATGGAATGATTTCTCCAGCAGTGTTGGCGCAGATGATGAAATTGGTTTATCCAGCGAATGTTGGCGCAGATGATGGAATGGTTTATCCAGCGAATGTTGGCGCAGATGATGGAATGGTTTATCCAGAAAATGTTCGCACAGGTGATGGAATGGTTTCTCCAGCGAGTGTTTGCGCAGATGATGGAATAATTTCTCCCGCGAATGTTCGCGCAGATGATGGAATGGTTTATCCAGCAAATGTTGGCACAGGTGATGGAATGGTTTCTCCGGCGAGTATTGGCGCAGATGATGAAATGATTTCTCCAGCGAGTGTTGGCGTAAATGATGGAATGATTTATCCAGCGAATGTTGACACTGGTGATGGAATGGTTTCTCCAGCGAGTGATGGCGAAGATGGAATGGTTTCTTCAGCGAGTGTTAGCGCAGATAATGGAATGGTTTATCCAGCGAATGTTGGCACAGGCGA